TTTCAGTGCTCATAATTAATGTTCAACTAGAATACAAATGTTTATCATTTGCATATTGTTTTTGGCTGCTTTCATGCTACAATGGCAGAATTGAGAGACAGTATGGCCCACAGAGCCCAAACTATTTACTATCTGGCCCTTTACAAAAGTTTGCTGACCCTTGTCCTACACAGCAAAGATGAAAACCATTTTTGTCATTATTAGGACTGTATTCAGATTTTAGAGATTTTATTTATTTATTTACTTATTTATGTTTATCTATATATTTATTTAAAAGATTTTGTTTATTTGAGAGAGAGAGAGAGAGCACATGAGTTGGGGGGGCACAGGAAGAGGGACAGGCAGACTCCCCTCTGAGCAGGGAGCCCCATGCTGAGCTTGATCCCAGAGCCAGGGGATCATGACCTGGGGGGAAGGCAGACGCTCAACTCAACTGACTAAGCCACCCAGGCACCCCTATTTATTTATTATTTTAAAGATTTTATTTATTTATTTTGAGAGAGAGAGGGAGCGCGAGTGGAAGGAGGGAGAGGGTAGCAGGAGAGGGAGAAACAGGCTAGCAGGCTCACCACTGAGCAGGGAACCCTGGGATCTTGACCTGAGCTGAAGGCTGACACTTAACCGACTGAGTCACCCAGGTGCCCTCAGATTTTAGAGATTTTAAAATATGACAAATTACACATCTTAACCAACTGAGCCACCCAGTCACCCAAAACAAAAGCCTTACATTGCAGTTAAGGATATTATAACCTTAATGTTTATTATAAGTATAACCTTATTTCAATTAAAATAGAAACAAAACTGAGTTTTAATAACTTCTAATAGGAGGATCTGAGTTTAAATGCTTCTACCTAGCAATGGGGAAGATTCAGAAGGACAGGAAACCAAGTACAGCTTGAAAAGGAGAAGAGAAATTTTGGATTGCCCATAAATCCACCTCTTACAAACAAATGAAGGACTCAGAGGCTTTCCATCTTCAAAACTATTTGAGCTCTGCTTTGAAAGGTGCAGTCTGATGATCACTCTTTTTAACTCTGAAGATATAATTTTTTTCTGGTTGGACACAGAAAATCAATTACCGCATTGTTTTTCCTTGTTAACTGTTTACATATCTAAGTGTTAAATATTTATTTATAATACTTTAATATTTTATTTGAGTTTGTAAAATTTATTTTTAATGTATATTTTTATATATGACTCAACATGAATATTGTTCTATATTATGATATTTCTATTTTATGGTAATGATGAGAAAATACATATATGTTATTATTGATAGTGAACATGTAAGTTAAACTATAACTTTCTATCTGGAAAATTTTAAACATATAAAAAATTGGAAGAATAGTATAATGTTCTTACATCTTACACTTAGATTCAGTAATTGTTACCAGATTGTAATATATTTGCTTTATTTCCTGTTCCTTGACCTCTCCTCCCTCTACACACAGACATTTTCTTGAATAATTTGAAAATAAGTTGTATATATCATGACATTTTACCTCTAAATACTTCACTATAAGTATCAGAAGTATAAGGATAATTCACTAACTATAATAACATTATCACAAGAAAAAAATTAAAATTCTGGGACTATCAAATATAAGCCCATATTTATATTTCACAGTTGTCTCTGAAATAACTTACTTTATTATAATCAAGACCCAATTAAAATTTACTCACTTGATTAGGTTACTATATCTCCTTAGGTTATATTAATCTAAAATGGATTCTTTGCTCCATTTCACTGAGTTTTCAAGAATTCGAGAACATACTCCATTCTAGATTTGTAATTGCTATTACTCACTTTTTCTCAAGTAATTCTTTTAATGTAGCAAGATTACTTCTCAATCATCTTAATTATCATATTTGCGTGATACATTATTTTTTATTTTATTTTTTCATTTTTTTAAAATTTTCAAATTCATTAGATATATTAGCTGTCCTCCAAATTACAGCAAATCACAGTTTTTCAAATGTTTCAACACTGCACAATGTAGGTGTCCATTTTTCTGACCTCCAATAATACTTACTCCATCTTCAGCCTATTTCCAAAGCCAATAACACATATTTTGTTTTTTGTTGTTTTTCTTCTTTTTCTTCCTTTTTTGTTTTTAGCTTCCTTTGTTCTTTTTTTAATTATTATGTTAGCCACCATATAGTACATCATTAGTTTTTTTATTATGTTAGTTAATTGCCATACATCATTAGTTTTTGATGTAGTGTTCCATGATTCATTGTTTGCATATAACACCCAGTGCTCCATGCAGAACATGCCCTCTTTAATACCCATCACCAGGCTAACCCATCCCCCCACCCCCTCCCCTCTAGAACCCTCAGTTTGTTTCTCAGAGTCCATAGTCTCTCATGGTTCATCTCCCCCTCCAATTCCCCCCCCCCCTCATTCTTTCCTTCCTGCTATCTTCTTCTTCTCCTTCTTTTTAACATATAATATATTATTTGTTTCAGAGGTACAGGTCTGTGATTCAACAGTCTTACACAATTCACAGTGCTCACCATAGCACATACCCTCCCCAATGTCTATCACCCAGCCACCCCATCCCTCCCACCCCCCACCACTCTAGCAACCCTCAGTTTGTTTCCTGAGATTAAGAATTCCTCATATCAGGGGCACCTGGGTGGTTCAGTTGTTAAGCGTCTGCCTTCGGCTCAGGTCATGATCCCGGGGTCCTGGAATCGAGCCCTGCATCGGGCTCCCTTCTCAGCGGGAAGCTTGCTTCTCCCTCTCCCACTTTCCTGCTTGTGTTCCCTAGCTTGCTGTGTCTCTCTCTGTCAAATAAATAAATAAAATCTTAAAAAAAAAAAAGAATTCCTCATATCAGGGAGGTCATATGATACATGTCTTTCTCTGATTGACTTATTTCACTCAGCATAATACCCTCCAGTTCCATCCACGTCATTGCAAATGGCAAGATGTCATTCCTTTTGATGGCTGCATAATATTCCATTGTATATATCTATACCACATCTTCTTTATCCATTCATCTGTCGATGGACATCTTGGCTTTTACATCATTAGTTTTTGAGGTAGTGATCCACGATTCAATGTTTTCGTATAACACCCAGTGCTCCATGCGGTACGTGCCCTCCTTAATACCCATCACCGGGCTCACCCATCCCCCCTCCCCCTCCCCTCTAAAACTCTGTTTGTTTCTCAGAGTCCATAGTCTCTCATGGTTCGTCTCTCCCTCCGATTCCTCCCCCCATTTTTCCCTTCCTTCTCCTAATGTCCTCCATGCTGTTCCTTATGTTCCACAGATAAGTGAAACCATATGATGATTGTCTTTCTCTGTTTGACTTATTTCACTTAGCATAATCTCCTCCAGTTCTTTTAAACTTTAATTTCTACTGAGTTCTCACTATAGTTATGGCTTTGGATTTACATATTTTTGTATATATTTTGTTACATAATACTTTCTTTTTCCTTTTTAACAAAAGAATCTGTTAGCTATATTTCTTATTAGATTATTTGTGGATTCTACTGATATTGGATTCTGGGGACATGAATCAATTATGAGCTTAACTGCATGACCTCATCACAAATCCCTACCGTAGACATTTACACACAGGCTGGTCTAAAAACCTATTGTGAATGTCAGGGTATGTAGAAAATCCCAGCATATCTTTGTCCAGGACTGGCCAAACCAAACCTGAAACACATAGTATGAGCCACATGTTTCTTGCTATTGCCAGAATTGCCAACTCGGAAGTAAACCTGACCTAGGAACTTTCCTCAGTATCCATAGATGAAACTGGACCCTCTCCCAGTAAGAATGTAACCGAAATAAATGTCTTTTCATCTAGAGCCAAATGATAGTCTTTGCAAGGGAGGTTGTTAGCAGTCCAGGGTAGTGAACATCTTGACGTTGCACCTCTAACTTAAATGTAATATGGGATGATATCTACAATTTCATCCAATTCCTGCTCTGACCCTTTTTTAACCCTCATTTTTTTTCCTTTGGCTCTGCATCATTTGACTCTAATCCTCCTTATGCTCTAATTTCCATTGCCTCTTATCTTATCCCATTGTAATTATCCATCAGGTAAGCTCCATCTCTCAGGAGACTAGCAAGGCAAGTTTAAGCATCTGATTTTCCATAATATCTTGGCTCAACTATTGAATCACCAGATGATTCTGAGTTTTCTTTAAAATTAACCACCATGTTTAAGAGGCAACCCTGAAATATCATCTCCATTCTTGGCTTTAGTTCCTTCTATGCTCTCACTTATGAGACCTGTGATACTTGTAATTGCCATACTTGCCTCCACTTATCATCCCAAATTATTTAATTTAACTGCACAAGACAGAAAGAAATACATATGTATGCCTACAGAAGGGAGTTCTTGAAATATCAACCAGAAGAATTACTCCATTAGATGTTCCCCTTTTTTAATACTACAATTTGTGCCAACAGCCCCTAACACAGAAGAGGCAGGGAAAGAACAAACTTCACCTGTTCCTTGGGAAAGTGCTGACCTGCGAACAGGAAAGAGGAAAAATTTGTGGAAATTCCCAGACTTTGCTGGGAAGAGACTCCTCCCTGTGGTGGCAATCTCCTTGAACCAATGCCAAGCACCTCCCATGACACCTGTCCCCTCCACAATCCTGTAATTCATTTCAGTGCCCCTCCTTCAAATTTTCTTATAAAAGCCCAATCTTCTCTGACCTGACAAACCATTGCAAATCCCTGCAAGACAGGTGAGTAGAAGCTGAGAGAAGATGAGACCCATGACAGGAATTATACTGTACATACTTGGGAGAAGGTACAGGAGGATCCCTGTCAGAGACACAGGAGCTCTGGTCTCAGCACAGGCAAGCTTGTCCGTTCCCAGGGGGTAGGAGGGCCACAGATTTCCAGTTCTTTCCAGAGCTATACAAGGGGATAGATGTCAATGGAAAGACAAGGAAGAGGAGTGGCATCTCTGCATGCCCTCTCTCCAATCATGCTTTCCTTAGTGATCTCTGATTGCTTCCTCAGATCATAGACACGATGCTGCCTCCCATGGCCCTCCCCAGCATGTCCTGGATGCTGCTTTCCTGCCTGATGTTCCTGGCTCGGGTCCAAGGTGAGCTTTCACTGTTCCTAGCACTGGGTCCTTGTGAATGCTCGGGGCCAAGAAGAAGAGGAAGGCCCCCGTGGTAATGTGGTGACACATATACTCACACAAAGAAACTGCTTATAACTTGTCCATCATCACTCCTTCCTTTGGGGTAACTAGGGGTGGCCAGCATCACAGTGGTCCACTAACACTGCAAGGAGGTCATTTCCATTTTGTCCCAGCACTCTAATTTAGGTTGGTAGGTGAAAGAGGACAAGCGTGAAGGGTCAGTAATGAGACACAGGGAAGGAAAATGAGGACCCAGTGCAAGAGTGGTCAGCCTAGAGTGGGGAAGGGTTGGACTTTGAAGGGGAAGGATGAAAAGAAAAGAGAAGATTCCTCATTTAGTGGGGCTGGTCCAAGATCAAGAAATCTTTTCTTTTGTTTTTTACTTTTTATTGTTATGTTAATCACCGTACATTACATCATTAGTTCTTGATGTAGTGTTCCATGATTCATTGTTTGTGCATAACACCCAGCGCTCCACGCAGAATGTGCCCTCTTTAATACCCATCACCAGGCTAACCCATCCCCCACCCTCCTCCCCTCTAGAACCCTCAGTTTGTTTTTCAGAGTCCATCGTCTCTCATGGTTCCTCTCCCCCTCCGACTTACTCCCCTTCATTCTTCCCCTCCTGCTATCTTCTTCTTTTTCTTTTTTATTAACATTTGTTGCATTATTTGTTTCAGAGGTACAGATCTGTGATTCAACAGTCTTGCACAATTCACAGCACTCACCACAGCACATACCCTACCCAATGTCTATCACCCAGCCACCCCATCCCACCCACCCCCCACCACTCCAGCAACCCTCAGTTTGTTTCCTGAGATCAAGAAATCTTGAAAGTGTTGGCAATGGGGAGAGGCAGTCAGGACTTTGGCATCACTTCCCAAGCACTGGCCTCATACATATTCCCCTAGGTCACCTCCCTACCCTGATCCCCACTCTCCTATTTACTTCTTCCTTCTCTTTTAATTCCTCCTACCCTAGGTGAAGACTCCCAGAAGGATGTGCCCACTCCATGGATCAGCTGTCCCAAAGGCTCCAAGGCTTATGCCGCCCACTGCTATGCCTTGTTTATGACACCAAAATCCTGGATGGATGCAGATGTGAGTACTTGGATTTCAGTTAGGGTTTTAAGGGAAAGTACATAAGAGACCTGAGGCAGGGGGGGTCAGTTCCATTCTCCAGAATTTCTTGGGGGCAAGACTGAGCATCCACATCTTTTGCATATATACCCCTTCTCCCCTACCTCTGCCTACCCTCCCCCCAATGATGTCTCAGGCTCCTCCTGAGTCTCTCCCTTCCCCACACAGATGGCCTGCCAGAAGAGGCCCTCGGGACACCTTGTGTCTGTGCTCAGTGGGTCTGAAGCATCCTTTGTGGCCTCCCTAGTCAAGAACAGTGTGAACACCTACTCAAATATCTGGATTGGGCTCCATGACCCCACAGAGGTATGAACTCATCTTCTCTTCATAACCTCTCAAGATGCTATTGCCCCCGCCAAGCCCACTCCCTGTCCCCTGTGCCTGCCCAGTAAATGCCTTAAAGAGCCCTGGAGCTCAGAGATCCAGGAGGACATGAGGGGGAAAGGGAGGGCTCTGTAGTGGCTCACCAGCTGAGTTTTGTGGAAGTCCCTTGTCTCCAGCTGAAGTTAATCTGCCTCCTGTCATGCTTGTACACAATTTGCACATGAGGCCTTGTTAATTCAGTTCTCTGAGCTTCACAGAGTCTGCAAAAATTGTGCTGAGGGAATCCTAAGTGAAGATAGGATCCATTTTTGCTCTATAGAACAGACACTGTCTTTGAGGGTCAGGGGGTATTTACAAATGCACCACTAATTGCTGTTCAGTCAGTAACATGTTACTCTGGGTGGTTCTGTAGGTCTTTGTGATTACTGGTTTGGGAATCTGCCAATAAGAGGAAGGAACTGGGCAGAGTTTCCCAGAGGAGAGCTCTGGCTCCAGGGAAGCATCGAGATGAGCAGAGCAAATTTGGTGATGCTGGGGAGGGGTTCATGCAAGGATAACTCTCATGGCTATTCAGCCTCACCACACTCCATCTTCTATAGGGCTATGAGCCCAGTGCAGGTGGATGGGAGTGGAGTAGCAATGATCTGCTGAATTACTTGGCCTGGGAAAGAGACCCCTCCACTGTCGCAAACCCTGGCCATTGTGGGAGTCTGTCAAGTAGCACAGGTAAGTAACAGAGGAGCTGCTTTCTGCCCAGACTTTTCCATCCTCTTTTTCTCCATTTCTCAGCATGACCTTCAGAGAATCCTCCTGAGCTAGGAAATGTAGTGTTGGTTTGTCTTCCCCCATCCCCTCTCATCTCTCCTTTCTTTGAGTCTCCTTCCTCTGGAGCAGGACATTGATGAGGATAAGGGAGAGGTTTTGGATCCTAGGGCAGGATCTGGGATGCCTCTCCCTTGGGTTCAAGAGCTCCATCAGCCACATCTACTTGAGCTCCTTTGTCTCTCTAGGATATCCGAAATGGAAAGATTACAACTGTGGTATGAGGCTACCCTATGTCTGCCAGTTCAAGGACTAGATCTGGGGAGACGTGAGGAACCTGAGTTTTGCATGCCACTCATCATGGACATGGGACCAAGTGTAAAGAATACCCCTGAAAGAAACATTCTCCTATACCTCTAAACTTGACCACCTCATTATGACCTTCCCTTCCTCTCAGCCTCATTTCAAACTCCTCTGTGTCTTCCATAATTTAAGTTTCAAATGGTAAAATAAAAAATAAATAAATTTAGTCTGTAATTGCCTCTCTTGTGTGCTTCTGTCTCATAGAGAAACTCTGAGGAGGAAGTGGTTGGGGGAGGAGATTCTGTGGGTCTTCTTTTTGCCCATTTTCACCCTGGTTTCTGGAAGAGTAACTAAATATGTATCACTACCAGCAAGTTTGTGATGAGGTGTTTTAGTACTGTTCATGTAGGATTTGGGTTGTGTACCTTGTTCTCCCACACATTTTGCTGCACACAAATTCCTCCAGGTCTCTGATGGAATGATACAACCAGTCTAGAGGTTCAGATAATGTTTAGAACAGTACTTCCTAAACTATCAGAGTGAAGGAAAATGAATAGGTTTCATCAATTTTTGAAAAATAGACTACAAATAAATCTAAAAATTAAATGGATAAAACAGATAAACAAAATGCAGACCTAATTTTTTTGTTATTAGTTTTGACAGACATATAAGTGATTTGTCAAATTACTGTACAATTTTCTAATATCTGTCAAATTCTGTTACTTTCCTTGCCATGGTCATTTGGCACTGGTCCACTGAACTATGCATTGCCCTGTCCCCAGGGGGCATTTGTGAGAACAGACTCTCCTGGGTCCTCTTTCTTTTGTCCTTAAAAGATTCTGACCTCAGTCAGGATTGGAGTTGGGATGACTTTAACATCTGATAGGATTTTTGTTAATATTTTTTGAGTGAAAAAAAATGATGCTCTTTTGAAGAAATTCCCTTTGACTGAAGGCAAGACCCAGACTTTCATGTATTTGTGTATATCAAGACCACTAATCTGTCTTCCATCTTATCACCACCCCTCCCTAACCACATGTTTCTATTGTGAAAAAAACTGTATTTGGCTAGTTCCCTAATCTGGAAAAGAAGTTGTCATATGAGACCACTGACAAAATTTGCCATTTGAGCAAAGAATATACTTTTTGAATAAATAGATGATTGAATGGACATTGTCCCTTTTTAAAAATTAATATTTGTTAAATTCTTTTTGCTCTTTCAAAGATAGACTGCCTTGACTAAATACCCATTTAGCATTTTTGGTAGGAACACTTTTCTATCAGTTTAAATGAATTTATGATGTAAAACCCCATGGATCTTGATTTTCTGCCCTGGTTAAAGTAATAAAAATGGGTTGGAACAGTTCACAGTTACAGTGCTTGTGCCAATTCCTATTTTAGTTTGACCTCCTCCTTTGGAAAGGAACTGTGAGGACGAGAATCTGATCTTCCAGTTGGAGAATCCCATGGTATAAGATAGGACATTTGTAGCTGTAGGTAAGAAAGATCCCAGCATACTTTGGCTCAAAAAATAAAGGTATGTATTGGATCACCTAACTGAAATATCTAAAAGCAAGGTAGGCTTTGAGCCCAGTTCATTCAGGGCCAATTGTCATTTCTCTGGGGGCATTCTCATCATAAAACATCACTCTTCCAATTTTTATCACACCTTTGGTTGTAGTTTTCAGTTCTCTTGCCAACTTACATTGTGCATTCTTCTTTGTACTTTCCCTTTGACCAAATAATTATGTACATATGCTACGGTTATACTTAGCCTCCCTTTGACACACTGGTACTTAAAGTTTAGATGACATGATTTTTCAAATCTAGGCTGGTGATACTATTAAAAAGTGAATTAAGTCATCTGGTGAAGATATAATCAAAACACTGCCCTCTTCTCAGAGCAATGTAAAAATAGATAAGAGGACACTTGGAAATATTTGTGATATTGTGACTTACTAAATATTTTGAAAACTTTTCTCTCAAATCAGGGTTAGACTGAACTGATCTTTATCCATTGTGTTTGGAATGTAACCTAAGATTTAGCCCACTTGAAATTTTATTAAAGATTTATATTGAGATTTGGAAATACATATATAAAATTTTCTTACATAAACTTTGGCTAAAAACATTGTGCTGGTAGATATGCTCATTGTATATGTGGTTGGAATTTGGTTAACTAAAACCCAAGAGGTATTCTATTAAGGAAATGTTAACCAGAGATGCTGTCTGCAGGACATGCCTATAATAACTTAGGTGTTACTGTGAATTTGTCATAGGGATGATAAACGTTTTCTAGTTGTATAATGCTTTATATACATTCATTCTTCAATTTCATCTTTTTTAAAAACTGTCGAATGCTCAGCATCTCTCATTGCTAACTTCCTATAGACCCTTCCCCAGATTCTTAAGCCCATACAAATCATCTCTTTCTAAAAAATCATTGACTATCACAAGTGGAAGAACCTTCTTGTGTTTTTTTAAAGATTTGTATTTATTTATTGAGAGAGAGAGAGAATGGTAGAGAGAGAGCATGAGAGGGAATAAGGTCAGAGGGAGAAGCAGACTCCCTGCTGAGCAGGGAGCCTGATGTAGGACTCGATCCTGGGACTCCAGGATCATGACCTGAGCCAAAGGCAGTCACTTAACCAACTGAACCACCCAGGCACCCTGAACCCTCTTGTTTTATTGGGGAAGAAAAGAATGTTCAAAGAGGAGTTGAGAGATAATTGTCCATGTGTCCCTGACATATTTTATACTTCCTACAAGACAGACACTGGCCTGGACTGTCCTGAAGGATGTCTGTATAGTTAAGAATCTTTAAAAACAGAAAAGGGGTGCCTGGGTGGCTCAGCTGGTTAAGCAGCCAACTCTTGATTTCAGCTCCGGTTAAGATCTTGGGGTCATGAGATTGAGCTCTGCATCAAGCCCTGTGTTGGGCTCTGTGCTGGGTGTGGAGCTTGCTTAGGATTCTCTCTCTCCCTCTCCCTCTGCCACCCCCCACTCTACAACACTTCCTCTATCTCTCTAGATAAATAAATAAATAAATAAACAAATAAAACCTTTAAAAACAGAAAAGGAACACTGCACACCTGTCAGAATGGCTAAATCAAAAACATAAGAAACAACAAGTTTTGATGAGTATATGGAGAAAAAGGAACTCTTGTGCACTATTTGTGGGAATGCAAACTGGTACAGACACTTTGGAAGACAGTATGGAGGTTCCTTAACAAATTAAAAATAGAATTACCATATGACCCAGTAATTCCTCTACTGGGTATTTACTTAAAAATACAAAAACACTAATTCAAAAAGATATATACGCCACTATGTTCAATGCAGCATTATTTACAATAGCCAAAATATGGATGCAACCCAAGTGTCCAATGATAGATGAATGGATAAAGAAGAGGTGGGGTGTGTGTGTGTGTGTGTGTGTGTGTGTGTGTGTGTGTGTGTGTAATGGAATATTACTCAGCAATAAAAAAGAATGAAATCTTGTCATTTGCAACAACATGGGATCTAGAGTATAATGCTAAGTGAAATAGGTCAGCCAGAGAGAGGCAAATACCATATGATTTCACTCATGTGTGGAATTTAAGAAACAAAACAAATAAAGAAAAAAAGAGACAAACCAAAGAAACAGATTCAAATATAGAGAATGAACTGGTGGTTACCAGAGGGGAGGTAGATAGGGGAATGGGTAAAATAGGTGAAGGAGATTAAGAGTACATTTATCATGTTGAGCGCTGGGTGATGATATATGGAAGTACTGAATCACTATATTGTATACCTGAAACTAACACTGTATGTTAACTATACTGGAATTAAAAAAAAAAAAAAAAGGCATGGCATTTTCCTCCAAAGCAAAGGACAGGCTTACTTATTGTTTTAGAAAATAGAGATAGTGTTTCCATCCAGAATAAAGGAAGAAAGGTATACTTACTCTCCAATATAACAAAGATGTCTCTCTCTGAAATAAAAGCTATGCTTACTTACTGCCCATTATAAAGACTCAGGTTTCCTAAGGTCCTCTAGCATAATGATAGAAATATTCCTCCCTTATAATATAACCCAGTACATATGAAGACATCTGTGCCAGCCCATTTATGTCCCCCCACCCATGGGACTTGGGACTTGTGTAAGGGGGACTATAGTGAGTATGTGGGGCTCATGCAGCTCAAGTCATCAAGTCTTTTGCCTTCTGCCAGTATCAGTGACTTTTTCTTTTTTTGGAACTCAGAAGGTTCTGGATTCGGATAGTCCAAGTCATCTTGACAGTAAGTCCAAATACTACTGCTTTTTAGAGTTTTTCTTTGTTTCTAAAGCTATCTTCACAATAGTTTTAAAGATGTTAATGATTAAATATTTGGAATCTTTGAACCTTTTGATTATAAGGTACCACACGAATATAAGACTGTCTTATTCATATCACAAATTCCCCTGAATGGCCACTGACATTCTAACTTGTCTTTCATAAAATCCTACCAGAATTTCAATGTTTAGTGCTATTGGCACCATAATCCTTGTCATATTAAAAGGCAGACAATGACTCTGAAGTTCATTATATGACTTGTAGTTGTTCATATTCAAATGATAAAAGTATAAAAGAAACAAAAAACCCTGATCTCCTTAGCACTGCAATCCCACCTTGTCCTGATAACACTGAGTAGCAAAACAAATCAAATCGAGAGGCTTATACTAAGGGCAAAGAAGAGAGAGAGAATAAAGACATAGACCATGCTTCAATGTAAAGAGTGTAGTGCTACTCAGGAGGGGCCTTCCACAATTGGCCATTCTGTGAGACTCAAGGGTGGAGGCACATGAAGGTATTTCTGGAAATGGCTATCCAAGTCAATGAACCAAATACTGGAAGAAAATTAAGCCAAACATGTTTATTTGAGAATGCCTGGCCTGATAAAGCTCCAAGGAACATTCTGACTTGGAGCAAGAGGGTGGAATGTTTTATGGGACTTTACCATGGGAAGGTATGTTGAAGTTCAGCTACTATCAAGAATAAAGGAACTGTTATTGAGGATTAGAAGCTATAACTTGAGCAATCTAAATTTTCTCTAAAGGAGTGGAGTGAAACAATTACAAGTTAATGTTCTGTTTAAGTGGGAGCTGGTTGGGAGAATGGCCACAGGTAAGTACATGTGAAGTCAGAGAAGAAATTTCTCAGGTCTCATGTCCTTCAGGTGCTTTCATATAAGAAATAGAGAAATTATTCCCATTATA